TGTGAAAGCCGGACAGTGAATAAGGAAGACCGTAGAAAAATTGATGTTGGAGGAGAATATTGAAAGTGCCATGGGCTGCCAAAAGAACCAATAGATCCATTCTGGAAGAAGTGCAGCCAGAGTGCTCCTTGGAGGCCAAGATGGCCAAACTTTGTCTCTCATACTTTGGACACATATTGTCAGGAGGGACCAGTCACTGGAGAAGGAGATCATGTTTGATAAGGTGGAGGGTCAGAGAAAAAAGAAGAAGACCCCCAATGAGATGGACTGGCCAAGGGGCAGCATCGATGGACTCAAGTGTGGCAACAGTAGTGAGGTTGGCCCAGGATCGGGCAATGTTTCTTTCTGCTGTACATAGGGTCGCTATGAGTCAGTGCTGACCCGATGGCACCTAACAGCAACAACAACAAACTCCCTAAGCAAAAAAGCCCCCTGTTTATTTGTTGATCCCTATTTACAGGAGCTCTGGAGCGTAGTGGTTACGAATCAGCCTGCAAACCTTAAGGTCAGCGGTTCGAAACTACCAGCTGCTCCGCGGGAGAAAGATGAGGCTTTCTACTCCCGTAAAGATTTACACCCTCGGAAACCCTGTACAGGGTCGCTATGGGTTGGAACCGACTCAACGGCACTTAACAACAACTTAACAACGTTATAATGGGGAAGGAGCTCTGGTAGCGTAGAGGCTACGAATCGGGCTGCGAACCGCAAGGTGAGCAGTTCGAAACTACCAGCTGTTCCACAGGAGAAAGATGAGGCTTTCTGCTCCCGTAAAGATTTACAGCCTCAGAAACCTTGTACAGGGTCGCTATCAGTGGGAACCAACTCCACGGCACATAACAAAAACAACAATTATAATGGGGGTTGGGATTTAAAAAAATAAACTAAAGGGTCTTACCAGGTGCAGCAATTGCACTCAAATATTTACACAAGTTAGTTGAAAACTTAAGTCCCTTCAAAAAACTACAGAAGATGTCTAGCAACCAGTCCTGCCGCCGGCCCTTCCTGCACCTGGGCGCCAGGCAGAAAGTCAGAGATGGCTCTACTGCTTCAGTTTGACTTTGGTTGAAAAAAGAATTTAACCTAGATGTACTGCAAGAATGACAGGTGACAAAGATGTGCTTCAAGATGTGTGGTTTGGGTGAATTCTAATTTGCTTCACGCTGATCAAGATGAGCTAACTGAAAGGCAAACAGGACCAGATTTTTTGTTTTTGCCAGGAATAAGTTGTTTGACGTTGGTAACTGACACAGTGAAAAAGCACTTTCAGAAGATTATGAGACAGAAAGCATTAGTGAGATACAGTTTGCATACGGAAGTACACCACTGAGATGAAATTATCTGATTGGTTTGCTATTTGATCTTCTTGCATCAAGGTCAGCTCTTCCTTGGCACATCATAGTATATTTTAAGAGTTTTCAGAAAAGGACCTTCTTCACTGTCCATATAAAGATGCAACTGAAGTTCATTTTATGTCTTGTATGAAATAAACTGATGCTTTAAAGCAGGGGTGGGGGACATCTGGCCTGTGGGAAGTATAAGACTCATGAAATCATTTGTCTGGCCCTGCCAAGGCAACCCACAAATCCAGCAACCACATTGTTCTTGTTGTTAAGTGCCATTTAGTCAGTTCTGATTCATAGTGACCCTCTATAGGGTTTCCAAGTAGAGGCTGGTGAGTTTGAACCACTGACCTCGTGGTTCAAACCAATATTTCAGTCCAGTGCTTATCCTACAGCACCACATTAGGGGTGAGATAATTAAATATTTGACCAAGTATAACTGGTTAATTTTTGTTGTTGTTGTTTAATGCCATTGACTCGGTTCCGACTCATAGCAACCCTTATAGTGTTTCTGAGGAGCAGCTGGTGGGTTTGAACTGCTGATCTTGTGGTTCACCATTTAGTGCTGATTCTCCAATGCAACACCAGGTAATTTTTTTTTTTTTAATTAAATGTTTTTATTTTGGAGACTTCCCAGGACCACCGCAAATATTCTCTTTTCTTGTAAAGATAGAATAAAGCTGCAACCTCTGGCCTAAGAAGACAATGGAAATGTGTGTTGCTCAGCTTGTATTTCTGATTAACAAAGAAGGGTATTTCCTAAGGTGACCATGGTTCAACCTTAGCTCAAAGGAGTAGAAACACTGGTTGATTTTTCAAGAGAATTAGACTTGACTTGAGAAAGTAAAAGAGAAATTCTGTTATCAATAACTTGCAGTAATTTTTTATGAAAGATCAAATTACAGTAAACCCATCTTTCCTTAATGAAAGTTCCCTATGTTTGTAGTCTGTCTATTGGTATGCAAACAATCTGGTGACTTTGATAATGAACAGTGAAAGATTTTTAAATAAAGCTTCTAAATATGAAAAAAAAAAAAAAACTGCAGAAAATGAAAGTTTTATTCATAATTGTCAAAATCTAGAAGCAACCAAAATGTCCTTCAAAAGGTGGATGAGTAGACAAGTTATGGTACAACCAGGCAATGCAGTCTTATTCCACAATAAAAAGAAATGAGTTATCCAGTCATAAAAAAAGACTTGGTGGAATCTTAAATACATGTTGTTTAGTGGAAGATGCCAGTCTAAACGGACTACATGCTGTATGATTCCAACTATATGACATTCTGGAAAAAAGCAAAATTATGTTATTGTTGTTAGATGCTGCCCAATCACTTCCAAGTCATCATAGCCCTATATACAACAGAACAACACACTGCCTGGTTCTGCACCAGCCTCCCCGTCATCCACCATTGCTAGGTTTGTGTCCATAGTTGCAGCCACTTTGTCATCTCCTCTCATTGAGGGTCTCCTTCATTTTTGCTGACCCTCTACTTTCCCAAGCATGATGTCCTATTCCAGGGACTGGTCCCTCCTGATAGCATGTCCAAAGTATATGACATGAAATCTCACGATCTTCACTCTAAGGAGCATTCTGACAAAACTATAGACAGTGAAATGATCATTGGATCTTAGAGCTTAGGAGGAGAAGGAGAGGAATGACACCAGAGCACTTTGTTGTTGTTGTTGTTGTTGTTAAGTGCCGTCGAGTCGGTTCCGACTCATAACGACCCTGAATAGGGTTTCCGAGGCTGTAAATCTTTAAGGGAGCAGATCGCCTCATCTTTCTCCCGCGGAACAGCTGGTAGTTTCGAACTGCTGACATTCAGGTTCGCAGCCTGATTTGTAACCACTACGCTACCAGAGCACTTTAGGCATTTTAAACCAGTGGAACTATTCTGTATGACACAAGTCATGGTAAATACATGGCATTATACATTTGTCAAAACCCACAGAACTATGCAACACAAAAAGTGAAGCTTAATGCAAACTATGGACTTTAGTTAATGAAAGTATGTATCAATATTGGTTTAATTATAACAGATTAATGCAAGATATTGGTAATAGGCTAGCAGCCCAACACCCAACCACTACTCTATCAGGGATCCTTCCAACAGGTATGATACTCTTCAAACAGCCCTTACATTGCTTATTCTGCAATTAATGAAGAGGGAGGAAAGGCGCTTTTCAGGATTTTTCCCTTACGGGCTCTGAATTTCTAGACTGTTGGCCTCATGCATACTTATCCCAGAGAGAATCCCCCGTAAAAGAGAAAAGAAGGTAGGACGGCAGCCAGGACATAAAGTCTTCAAATGCTGTTGCTTGTTGTTAGGTGCCATCGAGTTGGTACCGACTCATAGTGACCTTATGCACAGCAGAACAAAACACTGCCCAGTCCTGGGCCAACCTCACTACTGCTGCCACACTTGAGCCCATTGATGTTGCCACT